TTTAAAAAAATAAAAAATAAAAAAAAATGTTACTGTAAAAGCTCGAACTGCAGTAAATCCTAAGATATTCCAGTAAAACCTAAGATCCACCAATTGCTAATGGTAAATGTCCCAAAAGGTTTGCGATTCGAACTCTTACCACCATTCCGATGGTAAATCTTAGGATTTACATTAATGGCATGGTAAATGTTGAAAAACAAAAAAATGCACCTGCAGATCATCAGGATTATTTTGTAATTCTAAATGCCACAATAGCAATCCGTGTTGTAATAAGTGGAATATTTTTTTTTGGTACCTTATGTAGGTGAGATATTCAGAGATATACGTTATGTGTTTTTTCAAAATAATTTAAATAAGTTGGTATTAGTTTGTTACTATCATATGATACCTTTATAAAACTATGTACCTGTTTTGTCTAATAGTACATTAAAGTAAATAATTAAGAATTACTCATTGTTTTATTCCTAAAACCAACATCTTCCAGCTGACAGTGGTGAAACCTAGCATATACTGAATTCGAATGGTAAAAGCTCGAAAAAATCGTCGTATTTCCAGAAATACTTACATTTACCAACTCATGTCGGTAAATCCTAAGACTTACACTTAAATCTTAAGAATAACCGTAGTTCGAGCTTTTACAGTAACATATATACATATCACACATTAAAAATAAATAGACAGTTTTAATTGTGCATTGACACGTTATTGTAATAGATTCTTTTATGTTTTTTGTAAATGCTTATACGTACTTTAAGTAATTCTGAAGATTTACCCGTAAGTGAACTACATCGTTTCAGAAAATTTAAATCATTACAAAAACACATTTTAACATAGTAATTAAATTTCCATGCATGCTAATATAATCTATTTACCTGATGCCGTCAGCTCCTGAATTCAAAACCCCGCGAACGAGTTTTTTTTTGGAGTTTATGGCCTGGTATCTAGCTTACCTTACCTTTAGGCGACCGCGAAACAGTATTTGTTTTTAGGCACAGAATAACGCAAATATTCAATGTGCCCAACCCTCATATAAAATGAAATAAATATTTCTTAAACGCCAAATAAATACTTTGAAGTGACTTATTTCACCATGATGACTACCTCATATTACATAATAGGATGCCATAAACGTAATTGGACAGCCATTTTTCAAGACCTGCCTTCCTGTCATCCGTTTTCCACTCCAATGGCTTTACAAAGAGGCTGGCCACCATGACAAGATGAGGTGTCAACGTATGACAAACGATATGCCATCCCGAGCGGCAAATAAGAAATATAATTTCCTCTTAGCTTATAGACGCTGCCGGCTATTTGTAATATTCGAAGGTAATTTTTTGTAATACGGTTGTAGATAATCAAAAAATATTTAATTGTTAATACGACTAGCTGACATACTTAAAACTTTCTCCGTTAACCTAAAATTGTAATACTATATAATCCTAGTGAACTTTTATTATATTCGTTTGATTCATTATGATTATTGTACAGTGGTTGCTATGGATTAGTATTATTGGTTTTTAAATTTTTATGTTCCTATTTTCAAGTATCACTACAATATAAAAAGATTTCTCTTGACTTCACTGTCAAGAACGTTGAAAATCAATTTTTAAAACCTATCCTAATTTAATTAATTCAAGGCTTGAATCATAATAAAACAACCCTTCTGTTCAAGACTTAAATCATAAGCTTGTTTACATTACACCAACATTATAACAAGGAAATTGTTACAATGATGTATTCATAGTTTCCGCTGTCGATGAGTATAAACCATAAACTATGGTCAAAACACAACGAAGCACAATAGACAATCAATTTAATAGAGTTATTAATAGGTGAGAAGAATAAATAAGAGATAATAGAGACATGTCACGCAACAAAAAATGTGGTTATGAGTGAACGGATATGAAGAACTCGAAATAATATTAACGCGAACATATCGTTTGATTCATTGAACACAACACATCATATTTGTGTAGATTTAACTTAGGTATAATTCCTCTAGACATAGGACATATTAAAGCAAAGACATTTATATCAATGGACTAAATTCTTTAATATTCTCTCACAGAAAAAACTTATTCAATTCCTTTCTTACGTCATATTTTTATAAATAAACATTATTCAGTAGTGCAATGTTTTATTATATTCCGTGTTGAATCATTTGAAGTCCAAACGCATCTACTTTATGTTGTTTCTCTATAAAACACTTAAACCAGTAGTTGTTAATATCTCTTTGTTATTTGATTAAAACGACACTTGTGACGCCTTCCACCCACAGCCATCAAACGCGAGACGAAGCCATAAAGTGTGTCAAATTAAAAACCCTTTGAACTTGCCGTCAACATATTCGTGTATGAAAATAAAAAGACAGTTTCGAATTCGAGACATGTGTCCACATGGCACTAAAGCATACCGAATGTAATGCGACGATAAAATAATTTTAATTTCCCTTTTTTATTATTATCATATACATGTTGATAACTATGTGAACTTATGTGCGTTACGCGAACGCGAAATGCGAACGTTAATATAAAAAATAAGGGCTAAATTTATATTTACTACCACTTCCCAAATCAAGGGCGTAGGATATATAGAGTAAGAAGTACTCGCAAGAAACTCTCACTCTTTTCAATCGCCAAGTTTTTTTCGCTCGACACATGCTTCACTTGATATATTAAAACTAAATGTATTAAAAATAAAATATAAATAATTCATAGATATTTTAATCTAGAACAAAGAAGGTCTCAGTGTTGTAAGAGGAAAACACGCTTACTTTAATTGTTTGGTATTTTTTTTTTATGATAATTTTTTTCTTCGGAAATCGAGTAGCCTTCTACTAGTTTGTGTTGCAAAATTAAAGTAATAGAAAATGGTTCTACGTAAGTGATAACATTGTTCCTAGAGGGCTCTATCCACAACATGCCATATTTTTGAATCTTTTATGCTGACATCTATACTTTTTTCCAAAACTATCTAAAAGGTTTTGAAATTTAAAATTGTCGAAATAGTGCTAGCTGAAATTATTTAATCAGTTTAACGTGTCGCAGGATGGGGTACCGCCACCTAGAATTTCGTTGGAAAGTTATTATAACGGAAAGTTTCTACAAATCTTAATAGAAAAATAGTAGCCACTAGGTGGCTCTATTCACAACAGATTCTACGGTCAAGTGTCAACTGCGGACTGCCAAGTGCCAACTGCCAAGCAGTGTTGCCATCTTAGTGGATATTCCACTAGATCTGGTGGTGTAGATATACGTTTTAGCGGGCGAATTTTGGTTTTAGTGGCTAGTGGATTTTTCTAGTGGTTTAGTTTGTTTCATTCAGTGGTATGCTACGACATTTAACCACTAGCACGATTGATATCTTTACAGGAAAAGACGAAAACGTTTAACTTATAAAGGAATATTTTGTCATTATGTAGGCAACTGTGTAAAATTACGTTCGTTATTTTCGGGAATTTCCCGAAACAAGTTTATCAATTTCTTAAATTATTTTGATTATGGACTTTATTCCTATGACTAATGGGTCAAATTTGATTTGAATTAATGAGATTTGTATTTGTTCGTTTCGTATGCATGCACAAAAATAGAAATACATAACACAGATACTTAGTAGTTTTGGTTATGCTATGCATCGGAGCGACGGTGTAGCGTTTGTGTAGTATTTTCTTTAATATTTTGATGTATGTGGCAACATAAATACCGGTCGTTAAGAAGAAAAAGAAAACGAACGTCACTCAAGACAGACTTTAGACGAGTGAGAGATGTACTTTTTTCCATGAGCTTTTCTATAAGAATATAAATTAATTACTCTTGTTTTGTGAAGAATAAACCAATTAACTAAGTTAAATATGGGTTGTGATTTATTATAAGATAGAACATTCCCATAACCTTGTTTGTTTGCCAATGTTTAGTTTATTTTTAAAACAAAATGCCAAAACCGCAATATACGCAAAAGTTCCGGGATTGTTGGTTACGGGACTCCCAATTAATGGACTGGCTGGAAGAGGTAGAAAGTACAGCTGGTGGCGGCTGGAATTTTGGTACGATGTGGTGGATTTCGAAGACATTGCAGGAGAAAACCGATTTGAAGATTTAGCCACGTTTGCTATATCTTTATTAGTTTTACCGCACTCTAATGCTGAAGTAGAGCGATTATTCAGCATGATGAATATCGTGAAGACAAAACACAGAAACCGAGTGAAGCTAGATCTACTGTCATCTATTATGACAATTCGCGGAGGTTTACAACGCGAAGGAAAGTGTTGCAATAATTACATCTTGCCAAATTATGTAGTCCAGAAAATAGGAACGAAAGAAGTGTACTTAAAATCGATTAGAAAAGATGATTTTTAACGATTTTGTATGTCTTCTGTAAGTTTTTTTGTAATGAAAATAAACTAATTTTATAATTCAATTTACAATATTGTTCTTTTATTGTCAAAAAATATATACTAGATGTATGCTATCCATCTAAAGAAAAGAGTGACATAGACTACTATTTACTTCAGTAAAACATGTGTTTCCCGCGGTAAAAACAAAAAAATAGTGCTCGCGGGCTGCCTGCCTAACCTCCTCCTATCTGCGGACATAAAAATCACATCGATCCTATATTTCCTTTGGGCTTTGGGCGTGAAAAAAGGATAAATAAACAAACACACTTACATTTATAATATTAGTAAGTGTGGATTTTAGTGGTTTTCTGGTGGGTTGCGACGGCAAAATTGGTGGGTTCGTTAAAATTAAGTTGGCAACACTGCTGCCAAGTGCTAACTGCTAACTACTAGTTATCTTATCGCCTACCGGTACCGGGTACTATGTAAAATGTAAATTGAATTTCAAAACATAGAAAACAGATATTCTTTACAAATTAATTTAATTAACAATTATAGTGGAATGAAGCAGAATCCGTGATTAGTTGGGTTGATTTAAATATCATTTTCTTCGCCCCAAAAGTTGTCTAAATCTATTGCCATAAAAATAATTTCTGGCATCTATAAAATGATTTTAGAATATTTAAAAACGACTCATATTGATGATTGTGTTGATATTTTATCCAAAGAAGACGATCTTGCTTACTACAGCATAAAAGTAGAGTAAGTTATTAGTAGACCGCTGTACTGAGTCCTTTTTGTATCCATAATAATAAAAAATTGGTATTTTATTTTCAGTTTCATAAAACTTTTTGAATCCTATCCTGACGTTGGTGATAAAGTATTGTGTAGTCCTGTCGAGTCTCTACCTGCCTGTAATAGAGATGTTATTCTAGCACAGAGGCATATCTTGGATATGCCAGAATATAAACATTTGATCCATAAGCTTGATCATTGTTGCCTAAAAAAGAATGTTCACGCAAGATTCTTTGGATTGCCAGTTTGTCCAGAATTGCATAGAACAGTATTTCCTAAGAATGTTGATTTGGGATGTTTTTTGAAAGTAAATGGTATGTAACGACAAGTGTTTGAAGCATCTGCTATGAATTCTAAAGTTCACCATTAGTTACATTTTACCTTTTGCTATATAAACATTAAAAATACAGTATTATGGCACACCAATTGTCTTTACTCACTCATTACTCAAACTCTTCAACATAACAGAATATGCATGAACATGTCAATATTACAGTTGATTGATTTTATTCATTCAATTGTGATTCCATCTATTTATCTAAATTGGTTAAGAGTTCTATGGAATATATTTAAAAATTTAGGTTTTAAAATACTAACGTAGAATCAATACTAATGGTGGCTTTATCTTGGTACTATTTGATTGTTCATATTCTATGTAATAAAAGTGCAAAGCATTTTCATTGTATTATTATCAATGACCGCACAGCCCTGCCATTTGGTGCACATATCTTAACCACTGGAGCCTATAGCATTTTATGAATTGTATGATATTGACGTTGTAAAATATGCTATAAAGTTTACATTGAAGCAGATACGCAACTCCATCATCGCAAGTTGAACAGTAGGCATCCAAGTGCGTAGTACATGCAGGGGAGATGTCTCCTACTTAACACAGTTAATAATATTAGCCATAAATGCTACTAATCATAAGCATGCTCCTCATCCCATTCTTACACTATATAACAAACCAAAAATAAATGTTGTTTCTTGTTATTACAAAACTTTAACTTTATTAATTTTACAGGAACAGTTGTAAGGGTAACTCAAGCAAAGATGTTGGAATATCAAAGAAAGTATGTTTGTGTTAAATGTAAATATGAAAATATAATTGAGGCTGACTTTGAAAACAGATATATATTAAAAGCACCAACAAAGTGTGGCAATACAGAAACTAGGTGTAAATGTTCCACATTCACACAGGTCAATTTAGTTTCTAGGGAATATTGTAAAGATTATCAAGAAATTAAAATACAGGTAAAAAAATGTTAGTTGATTAATTTTGAAGCATAAATCATCTGTCTCTTTCATTGCAGTGTAAACACAATTTGTATGAAAAGAGATGAAAAAACTTTTAGAGAGTGCTATGACTGATTTAGTTTTTATGAATAAGGAGGAATGTTCTTATGACCTGTATATAATCAGAACAATTATTATAATTATAAGAAGTTACAACTATTAAACATTAGTTGAAAAGTTAATATTTTAGTTTATTAAATTTATATTATAAAAAAATTGTGGATCATAACAGATTATTTATTAATATTACAGGAACAAGTAAATAAACTAAGTATTGGCTCAATTCCTGGTTCCATGTGGGTGGTGCTTGAAGATGATTTAGTTGATTGTTGCAAACCTGGTGATGATGTTATTATATGGTAAGAGATAAAAATATTTGGCCCTTCAGTTCACCAGCCTCCACAAATCTGTAAGATCTCTTACACCTAATTATAATTCTAGTAAATTTTTCAGAAGAGTTTAAAATTCAAAATATAGAAAATACTTGTGGGTGTCACAACGCACCACCTGAAAAAAATAGTATAATAAAAAATAAATAATAGTTTAGGGGGTTGCTCGATAGACGAAAAATATGGAACAGAGCGCCCCACGCTTTTTCACAATAATACCAGTATTTTTTGTTCATTACCATTTTCAGCCTAAACTAGGATTTTTCACTTTTTAGTTTGATGTGCTTTAAAAGCGTGTGTTCTAGTTTTTTTTAACTATTATTTATTTTTTAGTTAATTTTTTTCATTTTTTTTTGGGATTATTGCATTGTCATCGATCTTTGACAGGTGCGCAAAGCTTGAATTAAATCTGTCCGTTAAAAGTGGGTCAAAATCGAGTCCGAAGGAGTCGGTTACATACATACAGGTGAAGCTAATATAAAGCGTGTAATAAAAAACAACCGATTTTCTATGAAATCTTTACATTATTTTTTATGTTAAACTGATTTTCGAAAATTGATTGATTAAATCGATTGATTAAATCGATTTATCTGAGACGCCATCATATTGTGCTAATTTCCTTATCATGGTACCACCCTTGGGATATCTCCTTTTCAACAAATAACGACGAAGTTATCCTCTAACAAACATTAGGAGATAAAAAAACCTCCTTTTCTGAAAAATGTCCTAGCCCTCACACGAATTTCCTGTTTTTAAGATAGTATCGTCCGTTTGACTACGAAAATTAGCTATATAACACTTAAATCTTATTAATTTTACTTCTGTACTGAGTACGACAATTTCTCTTGGAATGTAATTACGATATCTGTACTCTGTTAATTTGTAAGTAATTAGGTATTTATTTTTTATACTAAATATACAAAAACACTTAAAACAAGGGGTGCCGGAAGGGATACACCTCAGTACAAATTTCTTTAAATTCCTTTTAAACTAAAGAGTTTAAAATAATACAACAAACACTGGAAAAAAATGTTTTTATACCTGCTCAGCAATCACATCCCAGGTTGGACAAAAAATTTACCTTGTAATTTTCGGGTGTTATTTTTAGATATAATACATATGTATTTCCGTGAGATTTCTACACGAAATGGAACATTTATTTTTTTTTTTTTTGTAATGTTTTTCGACTAAAAAACCATTACATATTAAGGGTTCGTTTTGTTATTGGATTCGGATTGGAACGAATAATATTCCATAATAAGAAAAGCCTGCTTGTAAAGCGCAAACTCCTTTACCATACTTTTGGCTTTTAATCATATTTCTAATCGGCCTCCCCCAACTTAAGGGGATAAATATATTTTAACATAACTTTTGTTATTACAGCGGTATAGTTCGCCGCAGATGGCGTCCCTCGTCACAGACAAAGCGGTCTGAGGTTGAACTAGTGTTACATGCGAATTACATTGACGTCATTAACGCCCTTCGCTCGGAAGTGGTAGCATCAGCACCTGATGTTAAGGACTGCTTTGACGAGTTTTGGTCTAAATATGAGAAATGCCCTCTGAAAGGCCGAGATCGGATACTTGAATCTGTTTGTCCTCAGGTAAATATTTTTATCGCCGTGATAAGTGATAAGGCATTGGATTCAGTCTTCAGATTTATTAATGTTTGTTGTGTACAAAATAAAGAAGTAAATAAATACATATTTAAGATAAATTAGTAAATTGACTATAACTAACTGAATTGGGCCGTTCAGGTATTACGTAAGTACTATTTAATTTGATTGCGTTCTCTTTTAATTTAATTAATATCAATTAATGAAATCAAAAAGTTATCACCAAAGCGCACCCGACAGTCGTCCGAAACATACCTCTTAAATACAAATCGGTCCAGCCGTTTAGAAGGAGTTCAATTACATGTACATAAGATTTATATATTATGTATATAGGAAAGGTATGTGTATTTATAATTAGCAATAAAAAGTTTTTCTTAAGATATCGCATTTACGACTCACTAGCGGATTGTCCCGGCTTCGAATGAATAACTTTTTTTTAATTTTCCAAATAAAAAATAACTATTTTACTGAAGCATTGCAACGGTGGAACAATTTTTCAAATCTGTCCAGTGAGTCTGTAGTTTTTGTGATTACTCGTTACAAATATACAAATAATTCCTCTTTATAATATCAGAATAGATGTAAGGCTGTATAGAGAAAACATTAATTAATTTATATCGTTTTAAAGGTGTATGGACTGCATCTTGTTAAATTGGCAGTATTGTTAACAGTGATTACTGGTTCAAATCATGCCATTGATCATGAAAGGAAAAATGTAGACGAAAACCACACAACACGCGTGAGGGGACAGTGTCATTTACTTCTTGTTGGCGATCCAGGTACAGTCTTTCGTTATAACAACAAACTCTATATAACGTAAAATTAGTTAAATTTGTTTGGTTTAACACAACACCCATACTTTAATACACTCTTTATAACGCAACAGTCATTCTCTATTACGATTTTTTTTTATTTAGACATCAACAACATACTTAGTGTAATTGTTTTTTTTTGCCTGTAGGAAATTTTGGTCTCAGTTACTAAACGCACTATCGTCACCTACCTATTATATATATACAATATAAATTATTGTAATTGGTTAAATTTGTTTATTTTTCTCTTTCGTCCGTTTAACGAAAACTGATGATCGGTCCCTTTAAATTCGTTATAAAGAGTTTACACTGTATATATAACCCTATTATATATTAAAACAAGAGCCGTAATTGCTACGAATCGATATTATTATAGAACATTAAATAGTGATTGCTAGAGATTGTTTTGTATATATGTATTTTGATTATTACAGTCAAAACCATTTACGACGACATAGTTTAGAACAACATACCGGTTATATTGACCAAAATCAAAGGTCCTGGGTGAATTCTATTGTATTAGGTACTTAATAACAACTATCGGTGTTTACGACCAAATATTAGTAGTCCCTTGTCTGATGTTGATGTCGTTATAACAGAATTTGACTGTATTTAATCTTAGGTTCGTATTTATTTATTCCCTATTAGTTAGTACTGTTCTCATGTTTTTATATAAAGTTTTCATGTTGGCATCTAAATCGTCCTTTAAAGTTTATAATTGTAATAACTGGACGTACTTAATCAAATATATTTAGGTTCATAATGCTTAAAATGTTCGTATAAGGCATTATGACGTATGACGACTCTATTAAATTAACGAAACATGGACGATACACAGTGCCGGATTAGCCACATAGCAAGAGTAGCAAATGCTACAGGCCCCACGAACTTAGGGGCCCCGCGCTCCAACGCCTGTCTGACCGTAATAAAAAAAGTATTAATTTAGTAGCGTAAAATATCTTGCATACCTTTAACACGAAGCGCTTAGTCTATGCTTCACTTCCACATAAAAATAAACTCGACTTCGTCAAGTATAATCGTAAAAATAAGTACGTATTTATCTTTTTAACGTTAATTTTCAAATTTTAATTATAATCGATATACATATTTAGACTAGCATGTTATTTGTACCCTTCAGATTTTTATTTTTATATAGGTATACATTTATTTTGCGAGTTTACGTAGCCGAGATTGTACTTTTCTAATCGATTTTAATATAATATCGATTATAAGTATTTCGAGGAAACAGGCGAACTATTTAAATCCTAAAGCCTAACCAAGGGCCCCTAGGCAGAATTTGCTACAGGCCCCGCGCTGGCTTTATCCGGCACTGGTCGATACATAAACACTACACACCTTATGTAATGTATATAATAAGTACAATTTTAAATTAATAAATATAGTTAGTAACGTTTTTATTAGAGCAAGCTAACAATATAAGCGATAGAAGTTTCATTAGATAGTTATTTTTTTTATTTACACGCAAGAAATGCAGTACAATTAAAATAATAAGGATACTTCTCTCGCTTCTACCACTTTCATGATAATCACCATGCTCGTCTTATTTTTGACTTGTCTCTAGTACCTCCTGGATCACGGTTATCTATTGTCTATATACATAAAATATTATTTTTAGATCACCGCTTAATATTTTCAGGTACGGGAAAATCTCAATTACTCCGCGCAGGCGCAGATCTAACTGCTCGTTCGGTTTTCACTTCAGGCGCTGGTAGCACTCGAGCGGGACTCACTTGTGCTGCACTGAGGGTAGGTTAGATATTAGTTTTCATTAAACAAGTATATTTAAGTTAGTTTTTAGAATATTTTGGACTTAAGAGTTGTCTTGGGTTCCAAACACAAGAATATTTTGACCCACTCCCCAGTTAGTATGACTTTTGTATGTCACATCTAAGACGTCTTAATACGGAAGTCATTGCGCCAAGTTAACTTTAAAATAACTAAGGGGCTAAAAGAGGATCGGAATCGTAATTGTTAGTACGAAAATTTATGCATTTGTGTTGTCAGTTTGACTTGACAACTGACAGTGTGTTGAAATACTTGACAAAATTATAGAAAACTTTACGCTATGTATGCCAAAAAGTGTCCTATCTTCTTTAAATATTGATTTGAGAGATAAATAGCTAAATATCCTCTAAGGATTTTACGCGTAAGGCTTAAGAACTTTTTTCTATTACATTTAGTTTTACTTTGTGTGTCATGTAGTTTAGACGTTATCTTATAATACCTGTTCACGTTTCTATTCTCTGTGAAATATTTGTAGCAACACCTTTTACCTGAGGCTACAATCACCGCGATGATGTATTACCCTGAAATACGCTAAAAGCGTTATTTCGGCCGCTAAGGATATGTACAACTTTTCGATCTTAGGGCTCATTTACACGAACGGCACGATGCCGACGGCAGAACAACTGCACTCGTCGACTGCAGCCGTTGACGCGTAACTTTGAATTATAAACAAGAGTACAGTAATAAAACAATAAAAACAGCGTCGGCGGCTGTTAACAATGAACCAAAATGCATTGAACCCACAATAGTGTTTCTTCTTCGGAATTCATTTTGCAACTGCCTCCTGTACAAAGAGAGTCTCCGCCGACGCGGCAACGGCTGCCGTCGACGAGTGCAGTTGCTCTGCCGTCAGCATCGTGCCGCTCGTGTAAATGAGCTCTTAGTCACTGTGGTTGTGGGCCAGTCTGTGGTTAGTCTGGTCGCGGATCCTGCTTAAGGTTGGAGGAAGAGCAGCACCTTTCTTCCTCCACGTGTTTCTGACGAGATCTATTCCATTTTCTTTCTGGTAAATCTCCTGTATAATCTTAAGAAGTTTTTTTTACGTTGATTTTTAATATTATGTATTCTCAGGAGGAAGGCGAATGGCAGCTAGAAGCGGGTGCGTTAGTACTGTCGGACGGTGGCGTGTGTTGTATCGACGAGATATCTCACTTACGAGACCATGACAGGACTGCTATACACGAAGCAATGGAGCAACAGACTATTTCCGTAGCCAAGGTAACATAACATTTTCTACGAAATTAGAAAAAGCACGATAATTTTGTATTTTTTTTTAATCCGACCTCATATAAAGTACTAACTTTTTGAATTAATTTTTTAACTAGGATAACTTTACAATAGATAAGAATAGAAGACAGAACTTTTTTTTATATAGAAACACCCTCAACACGGTTATAATTTAGTTGTAATTTATGTTTTAATATCGAATAGAAAAGATGCTATAGGTCTTGGTCTTAGATGTATGTATTCGTTTCGTGATTTTTTATTCTTAATAGAAAAGTAGTACAATGTCGAGTTTTGGATCTAATTCCGGAAAAAAATAAATAAACATAGCATATCCGTGATTCAAATACACGACCTCAGAGTTGACAGGCGCACGAACCTCACTCCTCTAATGTTATAATAATACAATAATTATTTGCTTTAACAAATTACTGTCAAATTTTTCTAGGCAGGAATAGTGTGCAAGTTAAACACCCGTTGTGCGGTGATAGCTGCCTGCAATCCCAAAGGACATTATCAGACTGACCAGCCTCTCAGCGTCAATGTATCCCTTGGAACACCCTTGCTAAGTAGGTAATATTAAATGTCGCAAGTTTAAAAAATTAAATTTATATAATCTCATTCGGTAGTAAATTTACATTGTACTTTAATAATTAAAAAATATTTTAAGGCATTGTTTTGTTAGGAGAATAATGCTTAATTTTTTAATTTTCTTAAAGAAGTATGTAAATAAAATACATTAAGAGTCTGTATTTCGGTCAAGAAAAGCTACTGAAGATCTACAAGCAGTCGACCCGGTGGGCTATCGTACTTGCAGACGTCTAGCTAGCGAATGCCACGAGCTTTTTTTTTTTTTTTTGAAAGGGATCGCTGTTGGCCTTTAGGGCCTTGACAGCTCAGCTCGGGCTGTTTTGGCGAGCGTAGCTCGACCAGAATGAGCGTTTTTCCCGCGACTAGCGCAAGGGCGTCTCCTGTGAGACTCGAACCTCGGCTTGGGCCGTCACGGGGTGGTCAATCGCCTGAAGGGCAGGACGGAAACTCACTGGAGTGAGCGAAGTGCGAAATAAAGGTCCTCGCCTTCCCCGGTGAAGGCGGTTTTTAACCCTAATCTGTGTCTGAATACTTTGATTGTTATTATTTGCCGCGCGGGCGGCTTTTAATTTATTGTTTGCTACAGTAATTGGATCATCCGGATCCGTTAGTGTGTGTCGGGGCCTCCTATGACATTTTTTAGCCGGCGGGAAAGGATAATAGTTGATGCTTTTACGCACCAAAGGGTTGGGATGGTGTTTAGCCTTGTCGAAGTGGCGTGCGGACGCCAACTTCATCCATTGGGCTATGGTAGGGTGCCACGAGCATGATGCCTTCTTCCGCGCAATCACCCTAGGGTGGCGCTGGGTACCCCGTTACGCCCATGGGCTTGCGGGGGTATCCTTTCCGCGCCCCGCTCAACGGCGGGGCGGTCGCTGTGGCGGGCCTGGAGCGGCCCTGAGCTTCACTTGCGCTGCGGAGCGTCTTCGCTCTCGCAGCGCTAGGGTGCCACGAGCTTGATCGGACATCGCATTATATAGAAGCCGCGCGCTTCTATGTGTGCGTTGCGTGTATGCGTCTTGGCCGTAGTGTGATACTGTTTACGCCAACGCGAGTCTGTCGCGTTACACGTATAGAATTATATGACAAAACTATTTTAAGTGAATAGACATGTGTTTTTATACAGTAATTTGAAAGCGAATACAGTAAAAGCTCCCTATTCGCGCTTCCTTTATTCGCGTTTTCACTATTCGCGGATTAAAAAAATGCAACCCAATATCTTTATTCGCGGCAAAAAATTTCTTTATTCGCGGATCTATAATTTCATACAAAATTCCAATAGGTGTTTATCGCAATATCATATAGATAATATGGAGTGTAATCCTGTAATGTGTGTAATGGACGAACTGACACCACACACATTGAAGTCATGCTGGAAAAAACTATGGCCTGCTCTGACTGCGGAAAATGAAGAAGAATCCCTGCAAGTTCAAACTTTGACTTTGGTTTAAGAATGGCAAATGAGCTTTGCGATTTCTTTATGAACATTGATCCATCTATGGAACGAAGTCTTAATTTTAAGAGGCAAATTGCTAATGCGACTGCTGAGTATCAGTCTGAATTGAAGGAGCTATTAAAAACTGCCAAGCAAGAGAAAATAACAAAATTCTTCAAACCATTGCCTAAGCCTGCGGATAGTGATTATAATCAAAATGTTCAATAACATCAATAAAATTGAGTTTCTTATATATTTGTGTTTTTTATTTTGGCACCTAGGAACGTATCCCCTATAAACCCATATAAATTACCATTCTGTATTCACGGTTTCTGTATTCGCGGCATATTAATGGAACGTATACCCCGCGAATAAAGAGATTTTACTGTATAAACTATTTTGCAAAAAAATGTAAATCAATCTGCTTGTCTTTATTGCCGACCACTGCTCATTTTTTAAAAAAATTCATATTTAAAAATTTAAATTCAAATTTTCTGAGGCTTTTTTCAAGAATTTATTTGGTCTTCCGTTTTTAGTTCCAAATATAAACACAAAAAAAATACGTTAACAATTTGATTGTACTAATTTATTTTAAAAGGAATCAAGAGGTAATAGTTAGTTAGTTCATTTTAGTTTTCTGATAAATTGTCAGATTTTTTTTTCGCGTTCGTTTTCATTACAAACATAAATATTTAAATCAAAAATATTTTTTTTAGGTTTGACTTGATTTTTATTTTACTGGATTCGAAAAATAAACATTGGGACAAATTAGTATCGTCGTACATACTGTTTGGAGGCAATGCTGATAGTAAGAAAAGGTGGAGCATTGAGAAATTGCAGGTATAAGAAATCGTAATTATTCGTAAAAAAAAATATTTTTCAAATGTGATACTCATGTTAAAATTATCTTTTCTAGATGTACATCAGTCTTATTGGACCAAGGCAAATGGAAATGACAAAATCAGCGAATATAATAATTCAGCATTATTACATGAGTCAAAGGAAATCAGCCTCCAGGGATCCTTCTAGAACAACAGTTAGGATGCTTGATAGCCTTGTTAGGTTTGTATGTCTTTGTTCAAACCGTGGGATAGCCCTCTATTTTATTAAACATTTTTAATAATCCAGTGGCGCTTATAAAACAATTCTTTTGTGTACAGCCAGGCGGAGAAAACGTGACCTCACCACGTAGAAACTGGCACTGTTTCTTGACAATGTACAGAAAAATGCCGTTATTACCGAAAATTTTAATAATCATGGTTTCATGCTATACCGCGACAATTAGCAAGATTGTTTAATCTAATCTAATTGTCGCGGTATAGGCAATGTTAATTATTTGGATTTAAATGCATAAAAGACATTCATTATCATTATGCATTTACCAAATGTTCATGAAATCACGAAAAGAAATTTAAAAAAAAATGCACATATGCCCTTAGTGAAAAGAAACAACAGATTTTTTGTAGTCTGCCTTCCATGCTATTTATAAAATTGTGTTTGTTGTTTTTATTTTTATAGATTATCACAAGCACATTGCCGACTCATGTATAGAACCACCATTTTACCAGTTGACGCAATAGTGGCTGTTTCATTAGTAGATCTTTCAATGCAGGATTGCACACTTTCCGACACAGCCACTGCTCTCCATTCCACATTCCAAAAATATCCAGACTATGAATATTTACACATGGCCAAAAAGCTTCTTGCACAACTAAATTTAGATGAAATCTGGAGAGAAGAACTACTGTACTATGCAAAACTATTAAGAGTAGACCATAAGACATTAGAAAATGAAATTAATAGTGAAAATCCTTCTATATTTGCTCAAGTTGATGACGTTGAAGATAGCAATATACAACTTTCAGCAACTTTAGTCACAAGTTCATACTTTAATAACAATGAAAAGAAAATCGAGAAAGATGGCATTAATAGTAAACTAGCAGCTACTCTGGTCAAACATGCAGCACTTAATAAAAAAATAAAAATACCTTCAGTTCATAAAAGAACTAAACGAAAGAGAAAAGAAATTGTTATAGATACAAATGCACAACTCAAAGAAACTAAGACGAAAAAGAAAAAAGCTAAACTAAACAGTGATGTTGAAAGTGATGAAGATTTTGATATAAGCAAAGCATTAAATGCAGTTCCAAGTGTAAATGATGTTTTTAATGATTTGGGTATTGATTTCAATGTAAATCATGATTTAGATGTACTTGATGTTGAAAATAATAAACCATGTGAGTTATTCAATTCTAATCAACAGAAATCTAACAAGAGAGATGTAGGTAATGTAAAAACTTCTACAAACAATGAATTGGACAGTAAGGATAATACTGTAAATAAGTTAAAACAGTTTCAATTTAAAAGTAAAAATGATATAAATAAGTACTATGGTGACAGTGTAAAACAAGAACCTTATACAAATACTGTCCTAGAAAAAAGTTTCAGTAATACATTAGAAGAAAAGAAACCTGATAAAAATTCTCAAATATCAATGTTTGAAACTGACTGTGATATTGATTTGGATATTTAGGATTCTAGAAAAATACATACTTGAACAAGTGTCCTTATATAATAATTTTTACATAAATACAATTATGTTTCAATGTTCTACAATTATAAAATAAATAAATATCATACATAAATTCCTATGTTGTTTTTATTCTTCACTTTGTGTACTAGCTTTGTAAGGATCCTTTTCATAATTTTCTATGAGCAAATTTTTGAACCTTCTAACAGATATTACAATAGATTCTTCTTTTGCAGCTATATCTAAAACTTCAATTCTAGCTACTATAATGTGATTAGGATTTTTAGGACTATAACCTTTGATAATATCTATTTCATAGTCAACCCTTACCTGAAATTTGAAAGATCATTATAAAGTATTTAAAGTGTAAAACTTAACTATAAAAAATAATATATTTTTCTTTTAAGTAACAATAAAGCTTATTATTAATATTATAATATAAAACTTAGAAATTTGAGCTAATTTAATAAAATATACAGATAATTCTTGATTTATTTACAAAAATACACTTACCGGATTACTTTTCTTAAGTATTTTTTTTTCCATTTACTCTAATTTTACTTTCAAAGAATAGTTGTTCTATCTTACTGTAAAAGAAAATCTTGTATTAAAATCATATGAACATGATTCCACGCACACATTAAATAAGAAGTGATTATCTAATGTAATAAAATCTGATCTCCCTATGGCCTATAATCTACTCACTTTCTTGCAACTCCATGAGCTAATTTAAGTACAGCATCAGTCCTTAGTGATGTTGTAGTAATTTTCATAACTTTGGAATCTTTTGATAGTGAGTGATCACCCTCATCAAATTCTTCTTCATCAGAGTCATAGTCTCTTTGCTGGAAATGTTTATATTGCGTTACAATTACCTCGAGGAGCTTGTTAGTAAGGTATTAATAAAATAATTGAGATTACCTTTTTAGATTTGTGTCGTATGACGTTATAAAACGCACATGGAGCCGTATTAAGGGTTTTTGGCAAAGATTGTTGAAATGAACAGAATTTAACAAAATTTACAGGTAAATTTACAACATTATTTTTGATGTAGGCCAAACGTCCACATTTTTGGACACTCTGTCTCCATACGCAGTTCATTGTTATACTTTATACGAAGCCCTTTCTATTTGACTAAATACTACTATATTTTTTATTTGATCGCATATTTAAATAAGTTATATTTAACAATTGTAAATATTGAATAACCAAACTAAAGTCTAAACTTAAAGTCAAACTACAGACTATAATTATTCACACGGACGGTTCACGGTTGTCGGTTACTCATCTGACTTAGGTAAGCATAATATGACACATAAAACTTGACACTGTTACAGAAGTGTCACTGGTACAGAATACGGTGTATAATGTATGTGTACTAGTTAAGATTAATTTATTATTATTTATTATACTCCTCGCAACTCATTCCGTGTTAGTAGATTTCTGATTTTCTGTACACAACAATAAAAATGGACATTTTAAAAGCAGAGATAGCTAGGAAAAGAAAGCTTTTGGAAGAAAAAAACATTTTAGTAAGTATTTGGACCATATCGAACGTATTATTCTTAGTACTATTCTATTTAAACATTTCACAGCTTAACACTTTATGTCCAGAATCCTTCTAAAAAGTACTTCAAGCGCAGCGATCTATTGGCCAAAGAACAAGAAGAGTATTTGCAGAAATATGGACCACAGAAAGATATTGAAAATATCGCAAAAAGTGAAAAAGCTGAAACAGGTAAACCTATCAACCAGAGGATTGTTTTACTAAACAGTTGGTGGTTCAATATGAGAATTTTCAGTTCATTTGAACTTAAGCATTTTCATGTTTACTACTTGTAAGAACCTAAATTCGTAATATACAATACATTGAGTATATGAAACATAACATTAAAATATATTTTGCTGTATTTAATATAATTATCATTACATTCCAGTCAAAAACCAGTATAATGAAAGTGAGCAGAATGAAAATGCTTCATTACCAAGGTATGAGGTGATTAAGAGGTTACGTGAACGGGGACTTCCAATATCACTCTTTGGAGAGTCAGAACTTCAATCATTTAAAAGATTAAGAAGAATAGAGATTTTAGAACCTGAAGCAAATAAGGTATACTATAAAATCAATTATTTTTAATCGACCTGAGGAAGGTTTTTAATTAATTGTTAGTTAGAATTATATAAAATGTCTCTTGCCTACATATTTTTTAGTGATTATTGTTTTATTAATGAAAGCCTGAAATATTCATGACCCACCTCTGAAACTAATACTATTTTACTCTGGGTCAATCTCAATTAATACAGCCTTATAATTATAATTAACTATATTCATAACATATATTATATATATAATATGTAGGTCTATAAAACCATTGTTGCTTGACATGCATTTCAATTTCATCATTTTCAAAAAATTCAAACATACAAACAGAAACCCTAGTTATGTTTCCATCATATTTTTATTGTAACATTCAAAATTATAGTTAATATCTGTATTACTGCTTCTTTCAGGGATTCCGTAATGACTTTCAAGAAGCTATGGATGAAGTGGATCAAGCTTACTTAAATGAAATTTTGGCACTGGGAGCCCAGGTTAGTAATGTGATTACGGAACTTTAAGATCACACTCTAAACATTTCAATGAAGAGGCCCCCTATTTCTGATAGGGTTGGGTTGGGTTCCCCCAAGGCACAATTACCATTTTTGGCTTAGAACTAATTTAGTTGGTTACTCACACCAAAGGTTGGGACCCACACTTAAACTTAAGGCCTGACTTCTTGATACATGTCTTAATTTAGACTGCCAATTTTTAACATTCATCAACTAAATTGTTTCAGAGTGACATTGAGAAATTACAAAAAGAGGAGGCACTTGATGAGTCAATTTCATATGACACTATTCAGGAAATGGCTAAAACTATGGGCCAAGGTGATAGAAGTCATGACATGAATGTTATTATGTCTTTGTTACAGGTATTCAATTTTTAATTTATCTTATTAATAGAAATTTATGAAACTGTAGGTTGGTATTGCAATGTATTTTTCATTGTTTAATTAATTTAGTCTGCTAGCTGGTGTAGTGTGAATGTTTGTTTACATATGTAATATGGACATTGCTACAAAATTGTACTAATAGTATGCAAATAAGTTTCTTCCTACGTACTAATACTTCATTGTCTTGGTTGCAAGGTGAATATGTACAAATTTTTTTGTGTTTTAAAAAGACATTTTAGAAATATCGCAAACAATATCACAAATTATTTGAATTGGTCCGAACCTCACATAATAAAAATTGTATGTATAACTACTATTAAAATGCTCTCGATATTTTGACCCTCAAAAATGTATCAAATTATAATGAAGTATTTTTTATTTCAGTTTTTATTAAATCTATGGGGCCAGCAGCTTACATCTGCTACAGCTGCGGAGAAAACATCAACAAAACACAAAATGACTAGAGCAACATACACACAGACACAAGTGTATCTTAAGCCTTTAATGAGGAAATTAAAAAAGAAGAATCTGCCGGAAGATATTTGTGACAGCTTGACGGAGATCACAAAACATTTGCTTGAGAGAAACTATATCATGGTAACTATCTTTAATTGAATATATATATATATATATATATACTGGCAGACCGGCCAAGCGTTGCTGTGGCTAACTTTTTTGTCATATTACATAGTAGTAAACTATTCAAAGGTGTGGCAGGAAAACAACAGTAGGGGAGACCATGCTTTTGTGGCTAAGCCATTAGATTGACAGCTTATGTGAAACGTTGATAATTTTAACACAGCGCCATCTGTTAGAATTGTGTCAAATAATAAACAAATATTTTGCAATAAAAAAAATTGCGGGGGTATAAATTGAGATGTAAGCTATCCTATCTTTTAAGTTGGATCAAACTACACACGGTGTTCACATTTGATTGACATCAGTTCGGTAGTTTAGGAGTCCATAGCGGACAAACAACGTGACACGTAATTTATATATATTAAGATATGTAAAATTACAGAAACATTATGGAAATATATTTTAACAAAGAATTTTTGGTTTAACGAATTAAATTAATTTTAATAAACCAAGTATCATACATTTAAAATGAGTTTTTATATTTAAAAATAAATATATATGCACAATTTTTACATTAGAGTTATTTTAACATTTTGCCGCGCACCACCACTATGTGGAAGCACCTGCCCACTGAAGTATTTCCAAACCAATTCGACTTAGGTTCCTTCAAGATTAGAGCGCTCCAAATAGGCCAGCAACGCACTCGCGAGCCTTGGCAGTGTAAGTGGCAATGGGCGGCTGTATCACTCGGCTAACATCATGTAAGCCTTCTGCCCGTTTGATGAAAAAAAGACAAAACATAATATTTCAATACACTTTATAGGTACTAATCTTATGAATGTCGCTAGTTGCATAACTAATAAGCTAAAATATCATATTTAAACTATATGCCGGGGTTATTTTGTTTTTAGATTATGTTTGACGATATTGTTTTTAGATTATGTTTGACGATATTGTTTTTAGATTATGTTTGACGATATTGTTTTTAGGACGATATTGTTTTTAGATAAGTCTTACTAATCAGTCTGAATTAATGGATAACAAAATTATATTAATATGACTTTAGATCCCTCAAATTTAGTTTAATATGAGTAGTAGTGTATAAGAGCAGTGTTGGCCTAGTGGCTTGAGCGTGAGATCCCTGAGGTCATGAGTTTGAATCACGGTTGTGCACCAATGGAATTTTCATTATTGTTCGCTTTCTAGCACTTGCTCTTATGTTAAAGATGAATATTGTGAGGAAAGTGATCACACAAAAAATCAATAAATGTATCAAATAACAACGGTTGAAGAAAAGGATACAATCTAAGGCCGATACCCATTTAGGGTTGTAGTGGCACTGTATTATTTTCATTAGTTAGATAGTTATTAGGCATGTTAAAATTTTAAAATGACTTACAACAAATTAACACTTTTTTATTTTATTAGGCCATTTTTTATGTTATAAAATTAGTAATTATTAAATATTTAATTAATTTTCAGGCAAGTGACGCTTACCTCCAAATGGCGATAGGAAATGCCCCATGGCCCATTGGAGTGACCATGGTGGGTATCCACGCTCGTACGGGACGTGAAAAGATCTTCTCTAAGAACGTAGCGCATGTGATGAACGACGAAACTCAAAGGAAATACATACAAGCCCTCAAAAGACTGATGACCAAGTGCCAAGAATATTTTCCAACTGACCCCTCGAGATGTGTGGAATATACTAAGATTAAATGATTGTATTATTTGTCTTTTCGTTTTTCAAAAACTATTTAATTTTTTTATCTACCCTCGGCAATTTACGCAGTTTGAAAGGTACGAAGCAAGTGAGAGAAACGTCAATCGGTACTATTCTATGCCCAAAGTTGCAAATTATTTAGACAAAATCATTAGATGCTAGGATAAGTCGAGTGAATATAAAATAGTTTAATATCACTACCAGTGCTTAATGAAATAAGAGATATTTTCTAAACATTCAATAGTAATAGGGTTACATGATGAAATGTAACGAATACCGATACATATTTGTAAAGTAAATCTCCGCTGTGTAAGCTTAGATACGCTCACTTCTAATTTTTTGTTAAAATACGAGAAGTTCACAGTTCTCAACAGAAAAATGGTGTGGTAGTGTCATGGACACTGGCTAACACTGATTTAAGTGAATATGTATATGGTATGGTATGTGTATTTTGAATGTAGAGGATAGACTCAAAACTGAAACGCCAAACTAAATCAGGACCTACAGCCTGATTTTGTTATTTAAAAATATTTGGGCTAATAGATATTTTGTAAACTGTCATTTGTTTGAAATCTTAATCAAAATCGTCAACAAGACGTATACCTACTGTTTAAGAGTTTTCATCGAAACTTAGCGAATGTACTTGCCGTGTCACAGTAGAATTTGTACATTTCCAATTGCAAAAATAGCGGAATTTCTATAAAGACCTTGCATCAGGAAATACGCGAAGCAATGAACTACAACTTTTGGCATAATATAGTACCTACCGGTATGGTTTTGTAGTTGGCATGGCGAGATGACGGTTCTTAACACTTTGCGGAGGCTGCCAGAAACTGTTTTAATATGCTTGGAGCAACTCAACCGAATCAATTTTCAAAAAATTAAATGTCATTTATCAGAATTAGAGTTATCAGATTATATCAGTATTAGTGGCGAAGTACCCATCCAAGTACTGACGTTACTAAATGTAGTAAAAATTAGGTGCATTCCTATGGCTCAAAAATCGCCTTTCGTATGAAAAAATATCGGAAGTTTTATTACATTACTCTTAGGTACCGGTCAAGCTTCCTAGTTCCTGAACTAGATTGCAGTAATCACAGATTTAGCGTCTAGAATATTTTACTACATTTAGTAACGTCAGTACTTGGATGGGTACTTCGCCACTAATACTGATATAATCTGATAACTCTAATTCTGATAAAAATATTTGTTTATATCAGGTAGCAGTAAGAAGAAATTAATCAACAGATATGTATTTCTAATTACTTTAAACAAAGATCGAAAATACCGATTCGATTATCTTATCGACAGATAGTCTCATTTATCTCTGATGGTAGAACGATTAACAGTGAGAACAATTAAGTTTTAGTTTTCAAATTGTAGTGTTCAAAAATGTTTTTAATTATTATTTTGTCATCATTGTTACTTCGAGTACAAGGTTATTTATTCAAATAATGGCTAGTTGTTACAAATTAAAGTTTCTTATGGGAATTGTGTTTTAGGAGACTCTAGATTGGTTGGTGGTAGCAAAGTCCCGCCTGGCAACGGCCTCTTTCATGCTTCCTTACAAAATGTCACTGGGCACCATGTTTGTGGTGGTGCTATTATTACCCACAAACACGCAGTTACTGCAGCGCATTGCGTTCTTGGGTATGTTTTTATACTAGGAATAAAAAAAGAGGTGACAATGTGGTGAATTATTAAAAAGAAATGGGTGTCTCAGTATTTTCTCTCAGATCTGCTAGTCCGTAATTAGAATCCCGGTAAATGAATTTAATAGAAATATTGTTTCACACTCGAAAAATGGTGAATCACCTAGTATTGTCATTTGGAGGGAAAGCCTAAATTAGCCTCCCAAAAGCTTGGTGTGCTCAGCAAGGCAAGACGGTACTTCACTCCGGGCCACCGAGAAAAGAGCGTACCAATTCTTAAAAGGCCGACAACGCACTCGGCATCTCTGGCATGGACACTCTCAAATGAAGTAAGTGATAACTTAACCTCGTAAGGTGAGACTTCTGCTCGTTTGCCGCCTGTTCTATAAAAAAAAGATAGTGTCTGCTCCATGTCCAAATGCGGGAACACATGATTTCATACATACTTCTGTAACATACTTAATACTACTTCATATATATGCGCAGCCAACTAAGCTAGCTCTTGCTTGCTGCTTAATTAAGCTAGTTGGTATACAAATATATATATAGAGCACTTGTATTTTTGATATAAAGTGCTCTGATAAAAAGTCTTAGCTTCATGCATGCAATGAAACGAATAAAGGTAAAAAATATGCAATCTCGGCTCGTACTAATTATTCAAATTAAATATTAAAGAACGACATCGTCCTACCGTTATATATTGTGTCCCTACGCTTACTCTATTACAGCTTATAAGAAACGTATCATTTCAGTGCCGATCCGAAGTACATTAAGCTAGTTGTGGGAACAACGAATCTAGATGTAGGTGGCTCAGCGAATGAAGTGAAGTCCATTCACATACATCCTGACTATAACACTACCGCAAGAATTCACGATATAGCAGTTATTGAAGTAAAACAATTGCTTGATTTAAATGACGCTCACATGATACGTATGGATAAAAAACCTCTAAGAGAAGGTGATATTGTGGTGTTAACTGGATTTGGAGCTAAAAAAGTAAGTATTTTCTATATAAATTTACGTCCTTTGTCCGGCTTAGGTAAAAAGATCTCCTGAGATACTAATTTCTTAAAATACAACTTACATTTGTTTTATTTATTTGGAAGGGTAAAACACGATAATAAAACGAATTTAGCGAATGGCCAATTAAGATACAGAGGTATTCTTAAATTTAATGCAATTTGTTTTTAAGTAAATTTAAATATTATTGTAGCCACTATTTCTAGCCGATATTTTAATTCTAGCCACTAGGCCACCGGGAATGGAATGCTTGATATGAATGTGTTTTAACTAATCTAGCCCCGTCTAGCCTTATATCTATATATTTCACTAACCTATGATAATAAAAGAAGACTAATCAAATAACACTTAACAACTATTTATTTAAATTTGTTTATTGCATGATTACTGTGTAAAGTTTTTAATGGTAATCAGACCCGTAGAGATTTTTTAAACTACATACACTAGTAATTTATATTAGCTGGCTGCATTCTAACGAGAAAGTGCTATTAAAAACTATTTAATTATCTATTAAGTTTTGTTAATTCTACGATCACTAGATGGCGTTAATCGTAATTTTATATTACTGTCTTGTATAACTAGAGTCGTTATTATAAACGTTTACGAATGTATTAATTAACAAATTCCAGAAAAATGGAGACTCCAGTCGAATAATGAACTATTTGGAGGCGCCAGTTTTCAATCAAGACACTTGCAAATACGCCATGCGGTATTCGAAAAGAAACGTTGTTGATACCATGTTTTGCACCTTTACATCTATCGGTGAAGGGACTTGTCATGTGAGTATTTGTTTTAACGAAAAATTTAATAACAATATTGTTTGAATGATGTTGCGTTCGACATCACTTTTTATAACATGAGGTTATCAATTCGAGGTGTTGATTTTTTTGAATGTTCAACCATTGCTACAAAGTCCGCCAACCGATCTGGTTGATCAAGGTGTAATCAGTCATATTTGCAAAAGGTTTATTATATTTTAGAGAATAGATCCTATGGGGTATAGTTATGAAATCAGATTCATAGTTTTCAGTGTAACTGAAAAATCTTAAACTCGCACCACGACCACACTCGTGAGAAAAGTAATGTTACTTGAAAATCTAGAAGTTCCGTAATAAATCATATTTTTGGATACATATTTGTGCATTTATTGAATTAACTCTAAAGAATTTTAGTTAATATGTTAATAGTTAGTTTGGAAATTTTTATTCTGCGATCTAAAACTAATTTATTAAAGAATGCATTTAATAATTGGAAAAATTAAATACTTCGCCAACCTTGTTTGATCTTTTTACAATAATTTGAAACAGACGATGCCGATAAAAGTCGACTTCGCTAAACCTAACCAGAGATGGCGCGTTTTTATGGCGCGAATATCATTAAGGAATGGTAAAATTGGTTAAGACTTAGTACCTACTTAATTATGAGGTTTCGATTAAGGGACAAATCGACTTAGTCTCTTTCAAGAAAACAGCGTACCAATTCCTAAAAGGCCGGCAACGCAATCGAAAGCTCTCTGACATTGAGAGTGTCTATTGGCTGCGGTATCATTTAAGATCAGATGAGCCTCCTGCGCATTTTTCTGTTTTATACAAAAAAGGTTGAAAACGCTAATAAACGTTTTACGTCATAAAATTATATTTTTTAAAATAGAGTATTCTTATAAACTTTTTATTTTATTATTTAAACACTTCCATGGGTATTTTCAGGGTGACTCCGGTGGACCATTAATAAGAAATAACAAATTAGTGGGGCTGGTATCTTGGGGCATACCCTGCGCGATAGGATATCCGGATGTTCATACCCGGATTGATGTTTATATTGATTGGATTAATGATGTTATAGACAAAACTATCCCAAAATGTATATGTTAGCTTTAAATATATATTTAATCATTAGTTAACTATTGATAAAACTGAAAGAGATATATTAGTTTTTATACATAACTTTTAAGATCTTCTTTTTTAAGAAATTGTTGTTTCTTCCCATATTTTTTTTTTATTACAAATGAGAGTAATTTGAATAGCTATTTTCTATAAAATATAGGCTATTATGAATAAAAATGCAAAAAAACATAATATATTTATTTAATCTTAAATGCAAATAAATCTTTTTGTCGAAAAAATTGGGTTGGGTTGGTTGGTTGGGTTGGGTTAATTTTAAATTAATTTAAATTTTTTTCTGAATTCCAAAACTTTGCTATCGTTAACCTGAAAAACATAAATGGAACTTCGTTAGTAAAACTCCCAAAAAAAAATTAAATGCCTGCATCGCTGTAGATCCAGTCTAACTCTCTTAAGAGTGAGTGAGAGTCAATCATCGAGTTAGAAACAGTGAGATAATCTTAATATATATAAATTACGTGTCACGTTGTTTGTCCGCTATGGAATCCTAAACTACCGAACCGATTTCAATCAAATTTGCACACCGTGTGTAGTTTGATCCAACTTAAGAGAAAGCTTACATCTCAATTTATACCCGCAATATTATATTATTGCAAAATATTTGCTTGTATTATTTGATAGTCACAATTCTAACAGATGGCGCTGTGTTGAAAGTACCAACGTTTCAAATAAGCTACAAATTAATGGCATTACCACCAAAAAAGCATGGTGGTCCCCATGACTGGTGTTCTCCTACCGTTTCCCTTGAATAGTTTACTACTATGTTATATAACTAAAACCTTAGCCACAGCAACGCTTGGCCGGTCTGCTAGTAATATCTAAAAACATCTCGAATACCAACAACCCGGCCACGGGAAGCCCTCGCAGAAGACTTTTTACTAAAGACCAACAAGTAAGTCTGTGTTTTCTATTTCATTAACGACTGTTCAAAATCTCTTAAAAATAAAACAGATGCATCGTAGAATATAACACATTTTGGTCTATTATATTTCATCTTTGAAACATAAATGTGTATTTAATTTTCTCAACTGACCTCGCTGAACGCAATCAAAAATTAAGTGGCGTGCATATAGTAAATAATTGAAATCAGTATATGAATCATTCTCAAATAACTTACCATATACCGTGGTTTTTCTTCACTGAGCTCCATAATAACTGCCATAACAGGCCTCCCATGAGCACATTGAAATGGAGTCTTACACTCAGCTAAAGAATTAATTAAATTGACGCATTCCGATTTCGATAACTTATCTCCAAACATAATTGCATAACGACAGGCCTAGAACGTTTTAAGGTATTAAAAAATAATTGAGCAGTGTTGGCCTAGTGGCTTCAGCGTGCGACTCTCATACCTGAGGTCATAGGTTCGATCCCCGGCTGTGCACCAATGGACTTTTTTTCAATGTGCGCATTTAACATTAATTGCCCCAACGGTGAAGGAAAATATAGTGACGAAACCGACATGTCTCCAAAACGTCGACGGCGTGTGTCAGGCACTGGAGGCTGATAACTTGCTATTATAATATATACATATACTTGCCTATTAGATTTAAAAATGATCATGAAACAGATTCAGAGATCTGAGGCCAAGACCTGAAGAGGTTGTAGCGCCATTAGTTTATTTTATTTTAAAAAAAATATTACGTCTAGGATTATCTGGAAGACATCGCTTGTTAGCGCTAAGGCCGTCCATTGGCCTTGTTGAAGTGACAATACATTTCAACATTTCCATTTAAGAGTTTATAATAAAATATTGACTTACCTCACTAAAAACAAGATTCATGATTGATTGTGGGTAAAGCGGTATATTTCCTTTAAGATTCTTTAATGCGTCAATTAGTTCAGACAACAAACATTTGGTTGCATTGAGCACTACGTCAGCCTGAAAATTTAATAGAAATTAAATGGTTAAACGGTAACTGAAACTCAAAATAACTTTATTTCTCGTATAGGTAACCAAGTACACTTAAGAACGTCAACAGAAAATATGTTAAATTTATTCTAAATTTACATTTACTACCAGTTAGCAAGTCAAGGGCGTATAGCTGGCAAGACGAACTGGCAAAACTAACTCCTTGACAATTACTTGTTAGGAACTAAAAAATTATCATTTTTTACTGAATAGCAACAAAGAAACAAAAGTATTGTTAATAGCCGAACAATCGTCAGACCCCACGCGGGGCTGAGAATGTTAAATATAAGACGAAACGATGACATGTTTCGTTTGATTGTGGTCTGAAACCAACAGTTGGTCGTCTATTACAATTGGAGTAGAGTAGACCAATAACAACATAGTTTTTTATCTTTTATTTTACTTTCCCACGCCCGCATTATATTCTTAATTTAAACTTTTCCATTCAAGGCTTAACTTACTTGTCTAGGATTTTTACCAAGAATAGCCTCTGGTATAGCATACACCGATATATTATTATCTTCGATACGCCATTGTAATCCAAATGTATTAAGTTTATCTTTGTGATTGTGAAGAAGGGTTGTATCGTCTTTTGGTAATTTAAATGAAATTGTATCAATATTGACAAATTTCCAAGCTAATCCATCAAAGTAGTCTGCAAATTGTACTGTTTCTTATTAAGATGTATATCTCACATTAAAATCTACTGCTGATTGGAACATAAAAGCTATGACGTGAATATTTTAATTAATAAGAGCATAATTAGAATATGTAGTCAAATCCAGTTGGAAAAACTAATCTTTTTGGCACAATTAACTTAGCAAGATCATTATTATATCGGTTACTATTAATTAATAATACGTATAAGCTTTATATACAAAATATTATTGATGCTAGTATTATTACTACACTTCACTGCTTTATTACTACTGTTAAAATAAAAAAAACATAATTATCCAAATATTGGACATAAAATACTAAACAGTTGTTTTACTGTATAATTTTATTAGGGGAATTATTTAATGTTGTAAAGACGTCTTCGCAAAAATGTAGAACAGATACCTGTCAGATTCTTCTCTAGTCTTATTCTTTCGTGCACAGCATGTTGGTCAAATAAAACTAAATAATTTAATTTGGCGTTTTTGGAAATTGTTTTTCCAGGTAATATAGTAACAATAAATTTGGAGTCAATTTGAGCAAACACCTAAAAAGAAAAATGAATTAAAGCATCATCATTAGAAGTTCAAATTAATCCATTATTTAATAAACCTACTTTAGCATTTTTTATAGATTCAGCATCAAACATTAAGTCAGCGTTCTCTTTTCTCATTTTGTTATTTTTTACAGCATCATTTATTTTTGCGTCGTTAACATTTTGGATCGTTGGTTCAAATATTTGAGCACTTTCCATAACTTTTTCGGCAAATTTTTCATAAATAGCCTGTAAAACTGCTGATTAATATAAAGAAAGGTATAATATTCAATGAATTGTGATTAAATTCTTACATCTTTATAATACTCGTCGTCAAAATGTCCAATTGGGAGTGAGGGATTCAAATTACAGTTAACGAATATTGGTGACATACCTAAAAGAAGCATAGTTTGTAAATTGAAATAGTATTAAATTCATTCCATAAATGTTGTCATTATTTTAATTTACCTTTAGGCACAAACGCATATCTACTTTGTATATTAAAATCTGCTAAATATTTAATATGATTGCAGTTTTCAATGACTTCAGTGGGATTCACCGTTTGCTTTTCATTAGAATTAAATGTATCTAGAAAAATTTCATTAATTTCATCCGTGTGAAAATGGTGTGATATGACATTCTGACTAGCTTCTGTTTTATTGTTTTTTGAGTAATCGCTTACAATACCATTCGTATTGTGATCGCCATTATTCTCGTTAATGTTATTTTCTTCAATAGAATTTTGTTTATCATATATTATTTCACACAATTCCATCGGATCTACTACTTGTGAACTACTCGCATTTATTTCTAATGCACCTATATCCTTATTCACAATCAAATCATGGGAGGTATCGATATTTTTGGTGTACGTTGGCCCAAAATCATTGTTAACTTCTTTAGGAGAATTGTTCTTATCCCTTACTTCTGTGTATATTCTGGATGATTTAATTGAATATGTAACACGGTACTCATTAACATTCTCCAAAAAATTGTTTTCATCTGAATTTGTCCCATCTTTTTTGTATGTTTTCTGAACGTATACAGGGTTTAAATCGTTTTCAAACATCGAATTGAAAACAGTGTTATATTTATCAAACGATAAATCAATAGACTTGGAATACACATTTCCAGTAGGCATTTTATTCTTGTTGGACAAACTAAAATCATCTTGAATTGTATACAATGATTGCTCCATTCCAAATTTGATTTGGTTGATAAGGCATCGTTTGTTATATTTCTTACTCACAGTTTTCTTATCGGATGCCTGAATATTATTTTTAATGTTATGGTTTCTAGACAGTAAATTTTCTGTAGAAACTTTATTTAAAAAACGTATGTTAGGATTTAATCGTGCATGATTGCATGTGCATGATTCTCTTTTTTTTCTATTGATAGCATATTGGTGGCTTTCAAATGTTAACTTGTTGGAGAACATTCCTTTATTAATACCAACTAAAACATCAACCGTTAATTAATAAACGACAATATAGTATAGTTAATAATTTATTAAGACCAGAGCTTTAGAGAATATTTATTAAATACTTTATTTACCTGGATAATACCTTGTATATTCTGGAACGTGTATCCTGCTACCTATAAAATTGTTTTTATGACTTACTACTAAGTCTGCAATATTTTTAGAATTACTTACAACCGTTTTCACTAGGTCGTATGTTGTCATTACTGTTTTCTTATTAGTCTTTTGAAAAACACTTTTTCTACATATTTCGTTAAGTAAGTGCTTGGGATCAATATCAAATTCTTTTGCTACATTAAGCATATCTTCTTTAATGGGATTAAGTTTAAATGCTGACTGTTGTTTTATATATTCAACTGGTTCATGTGGCTGATTAATATCTGGTG